TTTTTTTTTTTTTTTTGCCGTTTGGGCTCGGACAATCTGCCAAAGGAGGATGTCCGACCGGTTGTCCGAGCGGGCAACCCCGGACGGTCAGGGGGGTCCCGGATGTCCGATCAGGTAACCTAGCTTAACTGCCATTTCGTCAAAATGGACATCTTCTATTTTTTGAACGAAATTGAAACTGAGTTTTTTTGCCGAAAACTCGTCAAAATTTGCTAGTCCTGAGGGTCCAGCGTTTTACAAACATTGGACCCCCTGGCTGTACATGGACCTAGCTTCAGACCAGGTACCTCCTGGCATGAGACCAGGCACCTCCAAGAAGGACTGCCTGGAGGTACCTGGTCTCAAGCTAGGTCCATGTACAGCCACGGGGTTCAGCGTTTGTAAAACGCTGGACCCTCAGGACTAGCAATTTTTGACGAGTTTTCGGCCAAAAAACTCGGTTTTAATTTCATTCAAAAAATAAAAGATGTCTATTTTGACAAAATGGTCGTTACTTTACCATATGCGGGCCAACAGGAAAAAAACTTCAACTTCAGCATTTTTTTGCGCTGAAAGGAAAACGTCAAGAAATCTGACAATGGGAGGCTATGTAGATTTTGTAGTGCTCTTTCCATAAAAAATATTTAAAAAATTAGAAAAACTCATTTCAACTGCAAAAAAAAACACGGCGGCAATTCCATGCATGTACATTTTTGCCACTTACTAGGTCTACCCGCTGTGCTACCGGTAGCCCTCATTAACCTGTGCTACCGGTCTCCCCGAATTTCGAACGGATGGCCAGTGGTGGTCTAACTATTTATTAGGGAAAAACAAAATTTTTCAGTTGATGTAGCTCAGTGGTTAGAGCACCGGTTGAAAATGCACATTGTGGTATAAGGTTGCGGGTTCAAAACCCCGCAGCCATGCGCATGGACACCGGCAGGGCATTAGATTGACGCGCGGCAGGACACATCCTTGGGCTGACGCATGGTACTATTACAGACACTGCCTGCGCACCACCCAAGGGTAGTCCACAATGTTGTATGTTGGTTGTGGGTTTCACAGGGTTTGCTTGGGGTGTTGGTCTCGAATGTTCTGATGTTCTCCCCAGTCTGGTATATCACACGTTCGTTCCACTTCCGGTAGTTGCTCATACTTGGATTACATGTTACAAGGTTAAGGGTTCGAGCTTGGTTCGGTCCTTGGGGAGGGTCCTTGTCTAGCTTGCCCCGTTCTCTCCTCGATACACACACATGATTCACAGACTACACATAGTTTTCAGGCATACACACATAAGTTGCGAATTATATATCGTCTATGGGTTACATACATAAGTTTCCACACATGATACTATCTACATAGATTCACAGAATATACACACAAAAAACAAGGTGGGGAGCTAGTCACTGGTGGGGTCTAGCGTCTGTAGTAGGTTCAAGTAGGTTGGATACGTGTCATTGGGTGCAATTCCTACTGACATTAGGATAGAACTGTCTGGTCGCTATATATGGGGCCTGTAGTTTATTGTCTAGGCCTCGCGTCCGAAGTTCCCGTTTGACAAGGTTCGTCCGGTTCTGCTTCCACCAGGGCTCGACAATCTATCAACTTTTGTGCTATCACTGCTGTTCGGTCCAAGTTGCCTGCCTGTTGGTAGGGCAATGGTCCTGAGTGTTGGCCACATTGAGGTAGGATAGTGGGATAGGGGGTGCGCTAGGAGTATTGACATGAGGAGGGGTTGGGAGGTGGTCTCATATTCCAGGACACCCGCGGCTCACACTTCCAGGTGATCACTGTGCACACACCGACTGACCTTTACAAAAAAAAAAAAAAAAAAAAAAAAAATAAAAATAAAAAAAATCATAGGCACTTCTTAGGGGCNATAAAAATAAAAAAAATCATAGGCACTTCTTAGGGGCTGCATGTTTTTTGTGTGGTGACGCACGAGGGCAGGGGGCTGGCCCTCAAGTTTGAAAAAGAACTACTCTATGACACACACACACACATGGGGGCCCATACACACAAACAGACAGACACACACACACACACACACCTGACACGCACGCACACACATACACAGATAGACACACACACACACACTCGTGATACGCACACGCACACACATACACACACACACACTTTACTCTACAACACTCTACGACACTCTACAACAGTCTACTCTACTCTACTCTATGACACTCTACTCTACGACATTGTACTCTACTTCACGACACTCTACTATATGACACTCTACTCTACGACACTCTACTCTACTCTACTCTACTCTACGATATTTTACTCTACATCATTCAACTTTGCTCCCGGTAGGCGCCCGCAATTTCCACTCAAATTTTTAATAATTTAATTAAAACAAAAAAACAAATTTTATAATATATTATATATATATATATATAGCCCCTCGTTTGTTGTCCTCTTCTCCCTCTCTGCCTACGGTTTACCGGGCAGTTCTATTTGACGATATATATATATATATATATACAGGGTCACCAGCCCGCACGTACGGAGGTCCCCGGGCAGACCTCCGTACGTACGGGCTTTCGGGGTCCCATACGGGGTCCGAACCCGACGGCCTTCGGCCCCCGCCAAAACTTATTTCGGGGCCTAAAAATAATATTTTTTTTCTGAATTGTTTTATGTGAGTTCTCAATGACGTGAGGTACATGCCTGTAAATTTTCAAGTCATTTGACTAAGCCAATTAAGAATTAAAAATCGCCAAAGATGGCGGTGTCAAAACGTGCTCGCCCACGTATTTTTTCACTTTTTCCTTTTTGTTTTCACTTTACTTCGGGGTCTAAACAATTTTATTATTTTTTTAAACTTTTTTTGGTTTTGTATTATGCGAAGTAAACATCTGAATTTTTTAAGGGCATTTAGCTATGCCAAAAAAAAAAAAAAAATCACCAAAGAT